GCGCGCGCGTGCGTGCGTGCGTGCGTGCGTGCATTCTAACGTGCGTGCGTGCGTGCGTGCGTGCGTGCGTGCGTGCATTCTAACAAATCTCTTTGCTTGTAATATGTACTCATATATTCTTATAATGAATATTGATTGTCGGTTATCCATAGTAGAAGTAGGCCAACATGATCAAAATGCTATAAATATTTTCTAGTTAGTGACTCTTTATTACGTTACTCGTCACCCTATAGATTAATTAGTGCTTAACGCTTTCCCAACTCTTCTCTCCCCTCTTTTAGTGCATAGACTTTTGCCCAAGTTAAGATGTAACAAGATTCTACCATTTATAATCAAGCAATTTGTAGGCAATGTAGAATACCCGTAATTGACCTGGAGGCTTAGAAATGCAAATGATTCATGAAGTCTGCTCGATCTACACCTGTATCATATATGGAGATTGAAGCCCTTTTCTACTTGAATAATCAAACTCTTGCCTTTTCTTTTTGAAAAAGAAATGCTTTTCTTTCTCTAACGAAAAAGCCCTATTCTCGGTGATGCGGGTGATCTACCCAAATCAGAGAAGCTCAGCAAGCTAATGGCTCAACGGTTCTCACCAAAGTGTCTAGAGAGGGGTGTAGAAAAGAAGAAGGATAGTATCAGAAGTCAATATGTAAATTACATTTGACAACAATCATTAATATGCGTTAGTCAATGATGGGCATTGAAATTAGTTAATGAGCAATGTTGTATGGTGGTAATAATTGGCATTGGTGTTGGTGAACATTTGATCATAGATCATGAATGACAATGAACATTAAAGTTGTTCAATTAGGGACATCAAAATTAGTCTTTGTTTGTTCAATGATGGACATCAATATTAATTGATAATCCTTGTTTGGCAATTGTAACAACAAACACAAATGTAATCAATAATAAGAGTTAAAAAAAATTATAGATAATTGTTAACTTTAGAGAATAATCATTATTAATATTAGTTGATGGTGGGCATCATGTGCTAAATGATGATGAACAATGTTGATGGTCAATGATAGGCAACGACAATATATTGTAGTAGACATTGATTTTTATTATGAACAACAATTAGGCTATAGATGATGGTGGGCACTAACATTTGTCAATAATGGGCATTAATGTAGATGACTGATGATTTGATGATGATGCCTGTTATTGTTTAATAATGGGAATTGATTAATTAGGGTTGTAAACAAACCAATGCACTCAATGAACAATTCGAACTCGGCTCGATTAAGACTTGATCGTGTTTGCTCAAATTAGTAAATAAACAAGCTTGAACAATTTTTAAAAGGTAGGAACTTAGATGAACTAAACATGAATATAACCAAACTTGTTCATTTATGTTCACGAAAAAACTCATTTGTTGTTCAACAATTAACTTTTTAAATACTCGATATTAAGCTCCATAATAACTCGTATAATATATGATATGCTATTTAAATAAAATTTAAATAACTAGAATTTATTTACTTATAGATTTAATAGCAATATATTATTATATCAAAAATATTTTTGATTAATTATTAATTATGTATTTATTCATTAATATAAAAGTATTAATTATATATTTATTTTATTAAAGTTTAGTCGTTAGATGTGAAAGTGCACTAGACTTATGTGGTATGTGTGAAATGCCTCTTAAAATTAACTTTAAACCCTATTAAGCCTTATTTTTCCTTTGACCTCTCACAGTTTTGCGTCTCTCGGGTTCTCCCAAACAATACAAAACCCTGAGTTACTACGATGTGCAAGCATCAAAGACAACGACGAGATCACGTTGTGCAAGGATCCCTGAAACTCTAGTCTCTCATATATCTTCAATTTCAACTCCGTTCATAAGTTCAACCCGATTCAAAAGTGTTGAGAAAGTGCAGTGCAATCATTGTAAATTATATATGATTAAAAATAAGGATGATGCAACAACACAATATAAAATACATCTATAAAATTGTTTAAAAAATCTAGGAAAAGAACGAGTGTATATGACTATGAAAAAACCAACACCTACATATGAATGTGAGAGTTGGGTGCAAACATGAAAGTATGATCATTCTAAAATATGAGAGATTATATTTTATATGATTATGATTCATGAGTTACATTTCATTTTTTACAGAAGTTATAAATGATAAATTAGTAGATGGAATCAGATTTGTAAAATTTTTATTGAATTTTTTATATACTCATTTGAATTTTTAACTCATTTATTAGCTCGTTTGAATACTCATTCGCTTGTCATAACCAAATCTAATACAAATCAAATCTAAACATAAAAAAAATTTAAACAAATCAAGCTCTCATGGTGTTTATTTTATCGAATCACACCATATCTACTATAAATTTGCTAAAAATAGAGCTTCGATGAACTTAAAATTAATTTTTGAAGTTTCCAGCTCAAATATTTGACTGTTTTGATCAACACATTATGCCATAATTAATGTTGCTGATATGAATTTTCTTATGTTTATGACATCAAATTTGAAATAATTATACTTGCATAATTGTTGGTGTTTAAAGTTCATATTCTTTTTGCTGACATCTACAATGAAATGCCAAAATTTATCAGCGCAGCGCAAATGATGAAGCTCATGTCGGGTTATTTCTATATTGCCCGCACAAGATTTGGCTAATAATTTTCTAACCTCCAATTTGGTGCCGCTCTTAAATTAAACAATACATATGGAGTTACTGTTGTTCAAGAAAAAATTTACATACATACCACCCAGTTCTTATGTATACGTACCACCCAGTTCTTATGTATTTACATCTAGAACACCCAAAGGTTGATATTTACTATGGGTGTAAACGAGGCTTGCTCGTGTTAGGCTCTTTTATATTTCAAGCTCAAAATGTGTGTTCGTGTTTGACTCGTTTGCTTAGCAAGCTGAACACGAGCCGTTTACAAACAAATAGTCGTTTTGAGAACCCTAATCAATAGTCATAATATGTTAAGGATTGTCGAAAGATTTAAAATATCATCTGAATCTAATTTTATAATTTTTATTCTATTTTATTCTTTAATAGTTTTAATTGATTATAAATCTTTGTAGCCTTGTAGTCAATTAAAATTTTTAAAAATACTACTCATCAAATATATATATATATATATAATTGATATAATTGATTAGTAGTATTTCGAGCCAAAACAAGTTGCACACGAACGAACAAAAATTTGTTTGTGTTGTTTGTGTTCTTCTCGTTAAGTTAGCGAACGAGTCGAACACGAGCTTCTTAACGAGCCGAACACGAGCTGTTCGCGAACAACGAGCCCTTTTGACAGCCCTAATATTTACACTTATACCCCAAAAACTATCTTGCAACTTTATATAAAAGTGTAATAGTTCTTATAACATACATTATATTTATGTTGTATTTTTGTATCTGGAGCTTGTTTTTGCAAGTGCAATAAATATAGTTGATATTTATAACTATATTGGTGTTATAAACTTTTATATGAAAATTAATAATAATAATATTTATGATTTGAAGTTAAAAATTTGAGTGTAATGCACACAAATATAAAAGTTAGGGTGTTAGATAAGTAAATACAGAAGAACTGTGTGGTATTTATGTAAATGCACTGACGTAAATAATTTGAGATGGGTAAATATATGAAGTAATTTTTAGGTCATAATATATTTTCTTTAGATTTAAGTAATATATAAAATCTGATATGAG